AACAAACCTGATTCCGTAAAGATCGGTTGTTCACAGACCGAATCGCAACACTACGATTCACTGAAGAGCAATAAATTGAATGAAACTCATCGCTATACATCAACTTCCTTGATTATAAGAAAGCATTTGAATGTATGGATAATCGAATATTATGGAAACTTCTTGGACAATGTGATGCACCTGGGGAGATCCTGAATATCATACGCAATTCAAACGATAGACTACGCTGCAAAGTCATGTATGGAAGACAGCTAATAAATACATTCGAAGTGAGGAAAGGGAGCAGAGAAGCTTGCTTACTCTCAGTCTTCCACATTCTTCTGATTGTTGGTTGGATCATGAAGACCCCTACATCTGAATAGAATAACGGGATAAAATGTACAGTTTGGATGCTACTTGACGATTTGGACTTCAAAGATGACCTGGCTCTTCTATCCCATACACATGAATAAATGCAGATTAAGACAAGTAGTTTAGTAGAAGCCTATGCATCAGTAGGTCTCAACATACACAAAGAAAAATCAAGATCCTCAAATACAACACAGTGAATAGCAACCTAATCATGATTGTTAAGAAAGCTCTAGAAGATGTGGAATCTCTCACGTACCTATCTTAGCAGCGTCATCGATCAACAAGTAGAATTGAATGCACACGTAAAAGTGAGGATTGGCAAAGCAAGGAAAACATTTCTACAGTTGAACAATATTTGGCACTCAAAATAACTGTCTGTCAACCATTGTCAAAGCCAGAATCTTCAGTATGAACTCCAAGACAGTTCTGCTGTATGGAGATGAAACTTCGAGAACTACAACCGTCATCAAAATGGCACACGTATTTCTCATCAATTGTCTACTTAAGAAACCCGATTTCCGTTGGTCGGATACCATCAGCATCCACGTGAGATATTGTAGATTAGACAGTTACATCATGACTAGTGTACAATTTTAGGATTAGGTCTGTTGGTAGAGCAGTACTTATATCATGGTGGACCATAATTCTACAAGTATACTGTGGGAGAGAACAAACCAGCTCCCAGCTGAAGAGGAAATCAGGGAAATTTGATGGGAATGGATAGGGCATATATGTGCGAAACCACTAAACTGCATCACGAGGCAAGCCCTAACTTCGAATCGTTAAGCGAAACGGAAGAGGAAGGCCAAAGAGCATACTCAGTTGACAATTGGAAACAGATATGAAAAGGATGGTTAGCGACTGGATACCACTTGGTAGTTTTTCTTCGTACAGAGTTGGATGAAGAACGCTGGTGAATGGCCTTTACTTCTCCATTTTGGGTAACAGGAGTGAGTAATTAAATGTAAGTAACTGTAACTGAACATTATGAGTAGTCGTTCAGGGTTCAATGTTTATTACTAGTTACACCAATCCTGTTTACATAAAATTTTCAAGTACTAGTAACATTATTCAGAAGCGATGACACTGCCCTCACCGTCTGTCGTTCTAAGTACTACGAACATATATGGACTACATGTAGTTAAACTTTAGAAACGAAAAATTAATTTCAGTAGTTCCAATTCATCAGTCTCGTCGACAGATGAACGTTTTATTCATAAAGCCTTTTAACGGCTTACTGTTCTCAACCATCCACATCATTAAACGAGTTTGATGTGTCATTGCTTTCTATTTGAATCCCGAAGTGTATTGTATTGCAATGTTGGGTAAAATCACTTATCAAATTAATTTCAAGGACGCGATTGTTTTTAAGCCATATCTTTAATGCAACGAGTTTGTTGGCATTAAACTTTACTAAATAAAATGCGGCCTATGCTCTATTGGGATTACCAGGCGTAATTAAGTAAGTAAATGAAAGGATCTAAAGGGTTTGTTATGTGAGATGTAAATGGAAGATATTAATAGGTGGGCTGGAGGAGGGTGATTGTATAAAGATTTTGCCGTTAATTCACGTCAGAGAAGTCATATATTTGCGGTCTCCTTGTTAATCACCGTAAGCAGCCCTAAGATTGTTTTTGTTAAAGACACATCCGACTGATGTTTGGGTTATAGAAATCCTAAACGCTGAGAAGAAACATACACTACGTCCAAGTGAATACAAGACTTATAAGTTTAGAATTTGTATCACCAGGTCGGCGAATATCCTGTTCAATCTAGAACTCCGTTCGCTAAGCACGTATCGTGTAAACTAAGCTACAGGTTAATCCCATATATTAAGACCTCGATATCAACAGTCAGTTCAGGAATGTTGTCTTGGGAAATAAACCTAAGGGCGTTCGAGCCACCCAAGAATAACGTGTGGGAATAACTCATCTCGGGAGCTCCTCTAGTAATCTGAAAAGATGAGAAATCCTGAGCAATGGGGTATCCAAAAACCCTACTGTGTTATGAAACCAGACAATGTTCATTGCTTCTCACTATACTGGGTTCTGGTATCATATTCTTATGTACGAGGTTTCGTAAGTTCTGAGGGATAAAGACATATAAAGCTCAACTCTACTACATACAGTGTCAGGCCAGTCATTACAGGACATTTGGTTAGTCGAGGTTTAGGAAAATCCATTATACTTTATTGATTATCGTATATTTGTACACTAACTTTAGGGATTTTTGACTTACGTTCTTTTACTACTGTATATACAGTGAATAAGCGACGGAGAGTTTTTGATCATTGTGTGACTAGTGGGACTGTTATTGATAGAGGTGTCACTTGAAAGTAAGCCATTTGTTAAAGATTAAGTTATGAATAACTTCAGGGAACTATCTGTAGACTGTTATTATATATGTATTCTTACTGTATAACTGTTAAGTAACTAGATTATACATATTGATAGGTTTTCAGTTGACCTATTGGTTATTATTGTACGATTCACTATCTTTAATTTATTCCCCCGCTGCCAGTTACAGTCTCCTACACTCATAGTTACTTTTTATGATGTGATGCTTTTATGACTTGCGTATCGAATGCTACTTTTTGTATCTGGTCGTCGTTGATTGTTATGTCGGAATCGCTGACCACTTATGCTCGAAACGAAGGGACCTCCACAACTCCCACGACGCGAAAGTAAGAACACAAGACTGGTATAAGCGAAGTTTTATTAGCCCAAAACACTATGATAACGACGACGACCTTAGTCGAAAATACACTCATTTATATATTGATTGTACACCCATTTTGATTAATAATTAGAATGAAATCACATACATGAAAAATACTCACAGTTATCACAAATCACGTATAGAGCATAGTTCATGTCAACTGAATGCAAAAATGTCGTATATTATACAGAATAAAATATCATACGAGAAAAGAAAATAAATACTATATTGAGTAATCATTACATTGAATCAAAACTGAAGTAATGTTGAATAAAACTCATGATGAGTAAATCGATCGAATCTTGACTTTTCTTTCCATCATATCACATGCGGTCTGGTTTGCTTTTCTATAAACTACGTATATCTGAAATATATTATTCGTACAGTAGAGAGTGATTGTATTGTAGACTCAACGGGCAGAGTTAGGTGAGAAGGACCAATAAGGATTCATAATTGACTCATGACTGTTAGGGCTGGTTGACGTGTCATTGGCTTAGCATAAGAACAAGATCATAAAAGTCGGTATTATGGTTCGCGATTTTGTCACATGATAATTGACAGGGGCAAAATACATAACACCAGTCTTCAATAAATCGGCCTCCCTGAGTTTTTGAATTGGTGAATTTTGGTTGCTATCTTTAAGTTGCCCCACTGTTCCTTAGTTATGGAATTTTATAGCCAGGTAAGTTATCTTACGCGGTAGGGTAGAAATCAAAGTCGTTTACAGTAAAGTATCATACTTTCCATCGTACAAAACACCGTACATACTGTTCTATGCTATATGCTGCGTTTCTTCTCATTGTGATTCTGAAGAAACGAAACATGTGTTGTCATCTAGTGTTTCACAAATATTTTAGGGTGGTTTGATAAATTCTATCCAAAAAGTAGTTTCAGAACTAAATTAAAACCATATTTAGTGAAAACAAATCCTTCCCTAACTAGTCTGTTCTCTAAACCATATGCTAAAATAACAGATCAGTGTGTAGATCACCAGCGTAGATGATCATTGTCGAATAATTGAGGGTCTATTAGAACTAGACGGGAACGGTGTAACGATCCAGCTAACGTCGAAGTCATACCTCGCGGTCAGCACCTTATGTGGATTACCCCATCGACGTATCAATGTACTGTAGATGCTTTAAAGACTGTACAAATTATTAATCACTGATTGTTGAGCTGTGTTATACTTCTCTGGTCGTATAATGCTGAAAAGTTGGGGTTAACCATGTTAACTGAAGAGTCTCTGGTTTGCTACTTTCGTTCACCCATCATCAAGACATCATGGATAGAATATAGAGTTGTGATGTGTGCTACTGATGTCGACAGATATAAGAAGTATGTGTCATCAATCGAAAGTGAAATTCCTGGCGACAGAAGGTTAAGAAGATTGAAGAAAAAAGGACGAGAACAGAAAGTGATTTCTAGGGAAATAAAGGGACAATCAAGTTTAAGACAATTGATTGATCAGATGGTAGTTGGAGGTATTCGACAGGAAACCCTGGACCCGGGTTTCGTGCTACTTGCCACTCATCAGCAAAGTGTACCTGTAATCTTAAGGGAACCCGGGTTCAGGGTTTCCTATCGACTACCTCCAACCACCATCTAATCTCACAATAGTGCCCGCAGTGTCGAGTCACTTAAACTGGTGTCCACATTGCAACATGGTCGATAGCATTCCATCTGCACTAATAATAAGGACTAGACATGCATGAACTTGATCACCACCCAGTGATCAATCAATTGTGACAATTGATTGATATTTTACAAATGAATTATTTACTGTACGGTTCACAAATTTTACTAACATGTTCTGTAGCTGTGCGTAAAAAAATACATCCCATTTTCCCCATTTGTTTCGTCATTCCCTACACTATCCATCATTCATTCTTTCTAAACCCAAATAATAATACAAAAATAGATTTTCAATAATTACTATGCACACATTTATTAAAGAATAACAATAGAGAACAGGTCAAGAAAGGAAAAACAAGGAACAACAACAACGAATGTGAAAACAATTTGTTCTGATAAGGATACCAAAAAATAAAATAAAATAAGCACAACAAAAACTGTAATCCAAATGCCTGTACACATAAGTGTTTACCAGAGCTAAACAAAAGAATATATAGAGACTTGAATACAAATATGCAAGTGAATTAAGAAATAAGAATGAAATGCATTTAAAATGCTTATCATGAATAAAACAATATTGTTTTTTAAAAAAAGGAGAAGATAAAGAGTATTAAAAAAAAAAGGGATACATGATCATTTTGTGCCTAGTTACTAACTTTTTTTTTCTATAAAAGAATTCACATCAATACACACGCACACACACACGTATACAAACAAACACACATTTATGTAAATGATTCTCATTTACTGTCAGTTAGTAACATGTATATATAAAGGGGGGTTCTACAATTTCTTATTCCCTATGTACTTGATCATCTTGAATTAGTTTCCTTTTTTGTTTATTGATTATGTAAGAAATGCGATAATGTTACAAAACAAAACAGCAACAACAAAAAAAATGTAAAACATACACAAAAATATTTGAGCAATAAGAGTTTTTTTTGTTTTTTTAGAAAAAAAAAAGAAGAAGATTCTGCAATGCAAGTAAAGACAAACCCTTATCAAGTATGAAAAACCTCAATCAAGAGATATGAATTCAATATAAAAGCAATATAGATAATGATAAAGGTGTAAGAAAGCACTCAACTCTATATGCATATGTATATAGAGAGTTGAGAAGAAACGCAAAACAGTGTTAGAATGGCTTTATTGTTAATAATAATAATAATAAATGCAAACAAATTATTGTTTGTTTGTTTGTTTCTCCATTCATACCTCTGATGAGCAAATGTAAACATGGAATGAATGAATGAATGAAAGAAAGAAAGAAGGGAGAAAGCATTATCTCTGTATGGAATAGAAAATGACTTCAATGAAATAACATATATATCATAGTATCTTAGTTACGTAATATATATAACCATTATAGTTTTGTTACTAACACTCATAATCATTCTCTAATATTATTTATTCATTTCAATAATATAGAAAACAACTGAATAAAATCAAACAAATAAAATTAGAGACAGAGAGGGAGGGGGGTGAAAGAGAAAAAAAATAATTTTTGTCCTTTTTTTTTATTAAAAGCATTGACAATGTAAAGAAAGACTATTAATGTGAAAAAAAAACAAAAAAAAATCCCATCTTCAATTTCATCCCCACCCTCACCCTCACCCTCATTCTTTCAACTCATCAAATGTTAATTTTTAAATGATGTACTATTTCTTTCCAGTTGTTGTTTTCTTCTTTGTATTACTATAGTTACAATAGTTTTGTATGAACGGGCAAATGCATTCAATGGTAATAATTGTTTTCCTCGGTAAAAAAAAAATACAAAAACAATGATGAAACTTACATTTAATACTACTTACTTACGGTGTTTTAAATAAATACGAATAGCAGAAAGAAAATAAAAGATAAATGAGAGAAGTCAATAAAAAAGAGAAGAAAAGATAAAAGTAAATGAATAGAAAGAAAGTAAATAGATGAATACATATGTATGCACGAACACACACACACACATGCACACATGCACACAAACACATACACAAACAGTATTACAAAATATAAAATGAATATAGTGGAATTTTCTGATTAATAAAGATAGTTTTGGCATGTATTATTCTGTTTCAAATGCCTTCATTTTATGTTTTGTGCCGAATGTTTATTTATCTCTCGTTCACTCGCTCACTTGCTTGCGCTATCTTTATCGCGTGCTTACGCGCGAGCGATTTATCATAAATGTCTTGATAATTCTCGGTTGAGAAGACTGAGAATTCGATAAATGCGTCGACTTTTTGTCTGAAAAAAAGTATACAACAATATATAACTGAAATAATTGTTGAGAAAATAATGGAACAATAGTGATTTGTAAAACTCCACCTGGAGTCCCTTTCCGGGGGCTACTGCCGGTCCCAAGCCCGGATAAAGGAGGAGGGTTGAGCATGGTTTTAGCGACCCCATCCCGTAGAAAACTAACTCGCTAAAAAAAGCTAACCAGAAAAAAATTAAAAAACGCTAATCAGTGATTTGTAAAGGATAATGCCGACATAACTATATTGAATTGATAGGAAAATGAGTAATGAACTATACATCATGCAATAACAATTTGCAGATGATTTTGATAGAGTTTTCTTCTCTGAACTTGATGGTTTGATCGTGGAGCTTTCATCGTTCTTCTGAATAGTATCATCATCAGTACAAATTTCAGGTAGAAATGAAGTGTTGAATTTTCTCCATATATGGCTCACAATTTGTCCTGTAAACCTCGATATTGATTGATTCTTGTTGACCTTAAACCTGTCATGACAAACTGTCATATGTGCAGAAATTCGAACATTTCATTGCTACAGTAAGTTTGTGCTGATGATGATGCTATTCAGAAGAATGATGAAAGCTCCACGACAAAAACATCCAGCTCAGAGAACGAAACTCCATCAAAATAATCTGCTTGAGATATAAATCTTCTCCACTATCTCGAACTGAATAGAGGAAATTATGCAAAATGCTTATTCCTATTAATTCATGTAATCAGCTGCCCCAAATGCCCTGGTACGGTCAAGAGTGGGGTGGGATCGCTTTCCCTCTCCAAATACTCTCACACGGCCACGCGTATACAGCTTCTGTCAGGGAAGTCCTAATCACTGTCTTCTCGTGGCATTACTGTTGTTTACGAAAATGAGAGGACGAAAAGTGAATGTCCGGTGCTTTAACCGGATCCCAAACCAGTGGTTCACATGGGTTCCAGTATCCTGAGGGAACTAATGGCGTATGAACCAATCGTTGGTCACCGGCTACCATGGGACTGCATCTCCTTACGATGCTCCACTGCCTTGTGGGTCAGAACTTCAGGTCGAAGACTCGGGGTGTGGCCTCTTAAGAAAACTACCTGCTTTGGTCTGGTCATCCGAGCAGTATCACAGCTCACACACAAATAAAATTTTGTGTGACGCATATCTATTTTGTGTCCTCTTGTACCGATATTTATGTGTTCAAATAAATAAAAAAATAAAATCTCACCAGCCAAAACATAGTTTTTATGAATGATCCTTTATGTTCCTACTATTTCAGATAAACTGTTAATTAGTTCATATCATAATTGCCTTACTGTTATTGTTAAGACTATAAAAGTTAATAATTTCATTGTCATTCCTCTTAGATGATCATTTCATAACACTTCTGGATTTCGTATACGAAAAGAGTTTGTGAAGACCTGAATGCGATTGATTCCCTGTAAGATAATAAGAACAAACTATAAAGCTTCAATAATCTATAACCTATCCAAATAATCTATATTCATTAGGCTTTTGAGGGATAGACTACAGTAACAAAAAGTAACTAGTACCATTATATCACCTTGATTTCCCACAATGCTAATTTCTTTTTTTTTTTACTATGTTGATGTAATGTATGCCATGTTCTTTATTATTTATGACTGACTAATGGACTATAAAAGTGAGTATCATATATCTACTAAAGATGAGAATAGGTTACCCAGAAAATGATATATTTTACAAGTCAGTCAGTCAGTCAGCTGCAACGTAGAACCAGGCGCATATATGCATCGGTTCAAGTTGCCATACCGCATTAGCACAACAAGATAAACACCGGATTCATAGAAGTAATTAATTCAGTGGTGGTAATATATAAAAGAAAGATTGCATATAAGGAGAAAGTACAGGAAGGAAGAATTAGTTCGTAGAAAGAAAGATATGAAGCAATTTTAATCTCTTAGTTTGAAGGAAGACAGAGAGTGTATACACCTACGCCATTGTGATCGATTCTGAGCCATGTCATCGAGAGTGTCCAACCATTGGTTACGATAGTCACACGGACTCCAAGCCAATATGGCTCAGACTAGAAGTTAGTGACTTCAAGCACTGATGCCATGTTTTAGTTTAGCCATCGACCATACCACGTTAAAAGCACCGGTTCTCGTCTGATATTTTATAAGTAGACTAATTCAATTATGTTGGATGAGTTTTTCTGAGATAATGATAATCTTTAATGATATTTATCAAACATTGACTTCATTATAGACATGACTGAAAATCAAGAGTCATTGGAGAGCCCCTTTCATTCAAGTATGAAACTTCTTCATAATTTATACCTATGAACTTGGCAATGATAAAATTTCGGAACTTTGATGAACCATTTGGTCAGTAACCATTTGTACAATTTCAGTCGCAGTCAATTTGAGAAATAGCTAGAAAATCATTCATTATCATCAATGATTTTAGTTATATGTGGATGTATTCTCTTGGGGGTGTACCATACTACGACAAAACATATTTCTAGTACTCCGTTCGTGGTTCGTCGTAACAATAGAACAAACGTCTATTCGTAATGAATACAACCTGACATCATAATTCCGTTCCAATTATTAATCACATAAAAATGACTATTATAAACACATAGTATTAAATATAATTACATTGGTAACTTACTTTAATCACATACTCTGGTCCATCACATGACCCATTATCGATTTCTATGGTAAAGAACCAATAATTCATATTAGTCATTATCAAGAAATAAACATGTTGTATATGATTATCGACAATATACATACTTTACAATTCATTTGTACATGAAATAATGAGTGTATATTATGAATTAGCTTAAGTCTATAATGTTCGGTTAGTAGCTAAAGCTTAGGTTCCACAATAGTTACTATCATAGATGTGATCTTAAACGTGTAATGATTATGAATATGAACATGACAAAATGGTTGAAAATGGATTCAAAACACGTATTAATGTATATAGTGTAGCAGAAAGTTTTTTTTTATAAAAAGAATATATAGGTTAGACAGAATTTATAATTGATTAATCACTAGGTAGTGATCAATTTCATGTATGTAATGTTCATCTTAGTGCAAATCGAATTTTATAGATTAGGTTGCCACGTAATCACTAGGCCGACCGTTTCTGCTACTTTGACTTCATAATTGGTCGTGCCTATCGTAATGAACCAATCGAGCTACACTGATTGGAACAATCGTTCCTCAAAGTCCTACCATGACAGACAGGTAAGACTAAATGCAGCAAACCCAAAGTCCGAAGGCGAAGTCGTGCTGCTGACTGTACAGAGGCGTGACGGAAGTAAGGTGTTTTCTTCAGACAACTAGCATAATAGCGATGTTGTCTTCCCACAAAGGAAGGGCGAGGTTAGAAAAGGTCGACCCTAACAACGCACACCTTGCCTTATCATACGGATTTCCGTCTCCGGCGGTAAGGTCTCAACAAGTACGGAACTAACAAGAAATTTACTCACAAAAATGTCTTGTATGACCGACCTCAAGCAGTTGTTCCTTGGGCACATCGGTCACGCTCATAGATCACTAAGAACACCCTTAACCTTACTTCTTTTATAGTTACGTTCAAAAGACCCCTTCCACGGTGTGGGCATCCAGAAAGTGATAACCGCCCTCATACCTCTAACAGAACTCATGACCACTGTATTCATAATCGACCTCCTCCAAGTTTGAGTGACTCGACAACGCATGTACTATGTTGATGTGTAAAGTGGTAGTTGGAGATAGTATATAGAAAACCATTAACCTAGGTTTCATGCTATTTGGCACTTGTCAGCAAGGTTAATAAGGGAACTGATGCTTCCTGATGGAGTCAATCGTATGACACCCAGCTTGACAGTCAGAAACGTTATTGCTGAGAACTAAATCCATCTAGAGAGTGTTAGTGCTCTCAAAATTATAGATACACCTTGCAGATGAGTGCTTAGTTAAGCAGAATGCTATTAACTGAATGTCACACTCAGTATGATTTACAAAAAATTAACTTATACCATCGATCAATCTCTCGAAGTCTTTCATTGTGGCTACTAACAAATATTTAAATTTCAGTATTTTATAATCCACTGAATGGTGTGAATCACAGATATGTAACAAATTCAATCGTGACACTGGTTACTATGACTTTAAAACCCAAACGAAACATTATTTGTCATAACATACTAGACACAACTTAGTGATAAGTACCAAGAAGTTTGGAAACTAGGTCCGCAGCTTTTGTTTGGTTGCACCAACCATAACAATCGTCTATCATAATAAGCCATAAACTCTACAGTATTGACGTACTGGATGATGCTTTCAAACTTTACTCCTGTATTAGTTTCAAATATTTTTATTAACTCTTAAGTACTTTACTCTTACGCTTAGCGCTGCTTACCTTTCACTTGTCGTTTCATTGCATATTTTGAACTCATTATCTTAGAGCTCATTTGTTCAGTTGACTGTTTGAACAGGTTTCGTGGATTACGTTCAGTGGTATGTGGATTGGTTAAATTATTAATTAAACGTTTTTGTTTCAATTTCTTCAACCGATCCCAATTAGACAAGTCAATTAATTCATCATTCGATGTCGATGGTGATAAAATATCGGATTGTTGATTATCCACATCACTGATACTAGTATTATTATTGTTAGTAGTACCAATGGCAATGGAATCTGTAGTAATAGATTGAGATATATGATGCGATGGATTGGATGCCTCATTTCGAGCCAAGTAAAGTTGTAATTCGTTGAAATGATCTTCTTCAGATGTGATCGATGGTAGTGGAGAATAAAGACTACCAAAACCAGATGAATTGGGGCTGATATCAGAAATGCTGAGTTTTGATGTAGACTGTGAAACTGATTGACTTGTCTGATGATCCCATTCAAATAAACTATTAGCACTGACAGTAGTTTTGTGCAAATTCTTTTCTGCAAATTCTAGTTCTGCAATACGTTGACGTTGTTGATAACGACGAGCATCACGTATAGGACTGGCACAACTGACAACTTCAAATTCAGTGCTACTTAATTCTTTACTGGAAAAAATAGGATAGGAAATGACTAGTAATTTATCCCACTGGTCCGCAAAGTGAAGTGCTAAATTTAACATCAAAACATTTGTACAAAGAATCTTGATAAATGAACGAATACCTGTTAATGTAAACAAGTTATAGAAAATCTAATGTTTATATTGATGAATAACTGAATAATAACCAATGTAATATTTTTCTAGTGCTTTAGTAATGATTTAATCCTATTGATCAAGTTGCAGTCAAACATCTAGTCTAACTGATTCAACATCGAATGCATTATATTAGCTTGTTAGTTAGATGGAAATATTCAACAGTAAACTGTGTTTGATCTGAGTTTTAAACTACTTGACACTCATCATTAAGGTGTACTTGCAATCTTGAGGAGATTAATATACAGTGTTATATTCGAATCCGTGTCAGTTAACTTCACAGTTCAAAACTTTACTGTTGAGTTATTTCAGCGCCCTAAATTTAGTTAGAAAATGAAAAATTCTACAAATGTATTGATCTAATTGAGCAATTTTTGTAAGATAAGTAGTGGAAACCAACTTGAACTGGTAAAACAGAAAACGAAAACAAGAAGGTCTCTTATCCTCAGAACTTGATATCTCATTGAAACATGAAATATCACAAAACAAAACTCGATTTATGATCTGTACATTTACATTAGGATAAATGAGACTATATGGTGATTAAGATTCAATAATATAAAGATTATAATCAGAATAAGGATTAAGCGTTCACGCGATTGACTGAAGACATTCGGTTTGAGTCCCGCATACGGGATCGTGGATGCAAACAGTGGAGAAATCCCATACTAAGACAAAACATCCGCCCAGCGCCGTTAGGTTTTCAATAGTGGTCTAACTGAGATCAATACATAATTTCGACTGTTAAAATATTAAGATTGGTAACTTATTCATATGTGTTGAAAAACAATAAGCCTGAACATACACAAAGGGAAAAGCAAGATTCTCCAATACAACACAGCAATGCGACAATCGAATCATACTTGACGGAGAAGATTTGGAAAATTTAAAAATATTCACATATCTCAGCAGCATGATTGATGAACACGGTGGATCTGATGCAGATGTATAGGCGCAGATCGACGAAGCAAGAACAGCGTATTTACAACTGAAGAATATCTGGAACTCAAAACAATTGGCAACCAACACCAAAGTCAGAATTTGCAACAAAAATGTCAAGACATTTCTATTGTATGAAGTGGAAACTTGGAGAACTACGAAAGCCATCATCCAGAAGATACAGGTGTTTTTTAACAGTTGTCTATACAAAATACTTCAGATACGTTGGTCAGACACTATCAGCAACAACCTACTATGGAAGAGAACAAACCAGATTCCATTGGGGAAAGAAATCAGGAAGAAGTACTGGAAGTGGATAGCACATACATTGAGAAAAGCACCGAACTGCGTCACAAGACAAGCCCTCACATGGAATCCTCAAGGCCAAAGAAAAAGAGGAAATCAAAGAACATATTACGCCGGGAAATGGAGATAGACATGAGAAAAATTGAACAAGAATTGGATGGAACTAGAAAAGAAGGCCGAGGACAAAGTAGGTTGGAGAATGCTGGTCGGCGGCCTATGCTCCATTAGGAGTAACAGGCGTAAGTAAGTAAGTTGAACAACAAATAAGCTTCCTAAAATGATTATATTCTAATAGGTTTTATCACTAGTTGATATAAACTATTTTCAATTTATACATACTATAATCTCATTGAATCTAAAGAGGTTTTAAACTGATAAGGTCATGATATGAACACTTCAAGAACACAATTCTTTATAAACTTGAAGCTTTCAGTAACAGTGACGCTTCTACACATGACAATAACTAAAAAAACCCAGAAACAATTATTGTAACTTCACAAATAGTTTGACTTAACAACTGATAATAAGTTAGTTTTTATTAAAACAGAATTACATATTTATCAGACTATATAGGAATGATTGTGATCATGAATTGATTCATGACAGACCATCATTTGAAACCTGAAGGCACTGGATGGTCGTTTCGTTCTATTAAGGAATTCCTCAACAGTGCACATACATGATCCCGTTCTCAGGATTCAAACTCAGGGTATTCGATCTAGCGAGCGCAAACGCTTAATCTCTAGACCACTAAGCCAACCAGCATCCAACTGCATTATTGTCTAATCTCAATCAATCCATGAAATTACCCGACCATCTTCCATTGTACCTCTCTCTATGTGGCACAGTTTAACTCCACTAGAACTAAGAGAATCCCTTTAAGTAACTATTTACTAATGATCACATGGTAATTATCACTATAAAGGGTTGTAGAAATGATTAAGTTTTTGATTGTAATCATGAACTGATTGATGTTAGACCATCATTGAGCATTACTGAGAAGTTCCACAATAGGACAAAACAGCCATTTAGTACTTCCAGGTTTTTCAATAATGATCTAACATCAATCACCTTATGATCTCAATCAAAAACTTGATCATCTTCACAACTTCATATTGATATATATATATATATATATATATATATATATGAATAGATAACATATATTCATGAATAACTTACTCATTTTCATCAATTAATGTCACTGTAATATGTACATCTTTTTTCCATGTACTTGGACATTTAGAATTAAGAAATGGAAATACTAAATGATAAATATCACAGGAATGATTAAAATCTATATCCATTACTAAATAACCATCATTTATTAATTTATATGTAATATTATTATCATTTTGTACAGCTTGTATAAAACATAATTGTTCTTGTTTTGATAATATATTTGGAATTTGCATTGGATCATTATAACTATAATAAATAAATTAAAGTAAAAGGGGGTGGGGAAAGATAATGATAAGATGAATAAGAGAAAATATATCAATAAAAAAGATTGAAATAATATAAATAAACTAAGTTATCTGTGTTATCAAATTCACTTGGTAACAGTTTTATTTGTATTTATTTAGGACTGCAATTGATTAGTCTCATGTTGGTATATGTGTATCCTTTGTGGATTGTCACAAGCATTTTGTAAGCACTAGTGGATAGTGGCTAGCAGTGGTATCCAAAACGCGCGTTTCTTCCTCTTTGGAACTTGTCAGTTCGATGTGAATGCATCACAGGTTTGATGTTCACCCCGGGGATTCGAACCCAGTACCGTTTGCTTCACATGCTATCGTGTTATCCACTTAGCTACTGAGTCCTGATAGCCACCGGAACATCAACACTGGGATGCAAGTACATCCAACTGACGAGTCCTAAAGAAGACGAAACGCGCGTCCTGGATTCCACTGCTAGTCACTCTCCATCTTTGCTCAAAAATCTTGTGACTTAAGGCTATATCGAGGCAATACGCACAGGATGCACAAATGCCAGCATGATACTGATCGATTGCAGTCCTAAATAACAATGGGAAGATACAAGTAAAACATCATCAAGTGAATTTAAAAACTTAACCCCATTGTACAAACAGATGGCTATCAGGACTCAGTAGCTAAGTGGATAACGCGATGGCATTTGAAACGAACGGTACTGGGTTTGAGCCCCAGAGTGAATATCAACTCAAAGGTGCAAGTACATCCAGCTGACGAGTCCCAAATAGGATGAAATGCGCTTCTTGAATACCACTGCTAGCCACTATATGTCTCTTTTGCCGTTTTTTTGTTGGAAATTGTCTCCATAATAAACCAGTAAGTATCATTAATACAAATTTTTAACTGAAGCATTTATTGAAATGTATGGTTTTATTTATTTATTTAAAAACAAAACATTGGTACCAGGAGGGACCAAATAGATATGCACCACATAAATCATTCTATTTGTTGTGGTACTTCCCGTATGTCCGAACCGAACGAGGTAGTTTTCTTAGGGCGCCACACCCCGAGCCTTTGACTTAAAGGTCTAATCCACAGGGCAGTAAAGCAATGTAAGGAGATGCAGTCTCATGGCAGCCAGTGACCAATAATTGGTTCATACGCCATTTGTTTCCTCAGGATACTGGAGGCCATGTGGAAAGTTGGTTTGGAATCAGAGTGTTCCAACTCCCCTAGGTGAACTCTCCGTGTCCACCAATCCGTTTAAAACGCCGGACATTCGCTTTTCGTCCTCTTAATTTCGTAAACAACAGCAATGCCACGAAAAGGCATTGAGTAGGACTTCCCTGGTATTGGTTGTATGCACATGGCAATGTGAGAGCATTTCGAGAGGAAGAGTTGACTCTTCCCACTCTCGGCCTTACCAGGGCATTTGGGGGCCGATTGTATGGTATAGGTTGACAAAGTTATACACATCAAGAACCGATAGAATGGAGGATATTTGTGAATAACAGTACAGTTCTAGAAGATCGTCATTATTTTCAGAGTTAAGAAGCATCATTTTATGTAATCTGATGGTAGCTTATCAACTCAATAAATCATATCTGTAAGATGTTGTTGTTTTGTAAATGAATGCAATTGATCAGTTTCTGTTGGTGAAGAAAAATCTCCTTATATATTGATATCAGGTCGAAAATCGTTGAGTTAGTAAACGAAAACACCATTGGGAACAACCAAATATATTCTAATACAACATTAGATGGATATCTTGGTAATATCTGAGAACCATAAAGTAAATACTTCATCTGTAAAATATCCATCAATTGTCTCAGAATATGTTGTTCCTTCGTCTTAAAACCAATCATTCTTTGTTTCCGTTCTCTTCTATTCCATTTTCTCAACCTTCTACTGCCAGGCGTTCTACTTTCGACTGGTGATACATACTACTCATATTTGTAAACATCAATAGCACACACACATTACTACTCATTTCTGGCTGTGTCAATTCAAATGCCAATCTAATGTGTGAGTTCAAAGCAAAGTACATATTCAAACGAACTTTTACTGTACTCTAATGACTCTAGACTCATTCATCAACGATTTCAGCAAATAATAAAAGGCAAATGTCTATTTTTAACTCAACAGACATCGATATATTGAAGAAAGCGTTGGTATTTATAAAGTATATAAGCGTATCAACCACGACGGATGTATATCCCTCGTTTATTGTTGTATATAAGTTGATTAAAATGTAGTAATCTGTACCTAACTGAAAATTACTTAAAATACCTTTACTCTCCAGATCCTTTCTCAATTGTACCATTCTAGAAATTTATCAAGTTAGAACGATTTGTAGATGGTCAAATTTAAAACACCACAGATCAGTTCAAGACTACAATAACAAAGCTAACACTTTAGTGTTAAGTGATTGATGGTTAGTTATAAATTTTGAAGTGATCCGGAAAACTTCTTGCAAAAAGACAAGAAAGCATCAGGAAAACAACAAAGAAGCATTCTATCCTATCAGCGTTCACTTGAAGTTTTAACCAGAAAACATCAAGAAAGTGAAACGTCACATTCAGAGTTTCTGATTGGATGATTACTATACTGCCACTATGTTTAGTACCATTCCAGAATCTTCGGAAAACCCAAGGCATTTAAAATACTATAAAACCCCTAGATGTTCTGTACTAAAACAAACATTTAGATTAAAGTGCTTCTCGCATATTTTACGCCTTTTCTCTTGTGTTCAGGTCGCTATGTAGTTCTAGCTTTGGAGGTTACGAGAATAACTTAGAAACCGAATATAGAATTCAATTAGCAAGACTTATCAATAAAAAGCCTATTATCTGGGTTCAGTAATTGTTTGTACATGTTATTATGAGATACGCATGATAGCTAAGATAGTGATATTCCCTAAACTGTTCGAACTGACGTTGTAGTCTTTTAGCTTTTAATTGATATTGTAATATTTTAATTTCTAGAGTTAACTGATGTCAAAGTTCTTGCTTTTCCCAAGGAAATATCAATAATATAGGTAATAATTGACATAAAACAGTTATATAACTATTTATATCAATTGACAGTATCATATTATTGAATATAAGTTGACTGCCCCTATTTGTGATGTTCAGTGGTACAGGAGTAGGTTGGAAGAAAGCTAGGGGTGGTCAAACCAAAACATGACACAAATCCATGAAGTCACTGATAAGTGGACTGCGTCATGTTTCTAGGTGTAGACTACCTGTTGTGGACCGCAAGATGATAGCAACCGATGGTTAGAGATCTTGAATGACATGGCTCAAAATCGTTTGCAATGGCACATATGCATCCACTCCTTGTGTTCTCTCACATTCTAATCTTCTGAATTTTTCATGTCCCGTCTTTTTTTTCTCTTTCTAAATTTATTTCACTAAACTATACTCCTTGAATAACATCTTCAAACGCTAATCTTTCCGATTACTGCTTATACTCTTACTACCTCTACCACAGTGGAATTTGAATCGACAACTGCATCTCTGTGCTAATGTGGTATGACAACTCGAACTGATGTACATACATACTGAGTTCTATGTTGTTACTAATTTACTGACTGACTAATACATTGTTATTATTTGAGGGATTATCACTGAACTGTTGAAGCTACTAATTATCTTCACTAGAAATAATTTTACTTAAATATTAAATGATCACTTATTTGTAAGTAATGTGATTTTCTTCAAACTTTCAATGTTGATAGAACTCAATTAATCACAAATCAAAATGTCTCAACTTCTCACGCACTCTTTTTGTGCTGAGTAGTTTAACATGATCAAACTGTTTGTTAAACATCAATTAACAAAATAATTTATAATATAATCAACTTAGTATTGTTTGCTTGTATTTTCCCCCTTGATGTTTAGGACTACAATTGTTCAGTCTCTTATTGGTATACAATGTATCTTGTGTGAACTACCTCGATATTGCCTTAAGTCATAAGCTTGATAAGTAAAGGTGGTTAACAATGAAATCCAAGACTCACGTTTCGTCCTATTAGGGATTCATCATTTGAGTGGATAACGTAATAGCGTTTAAATCTAATGATACTATGTTCAAGTTGATAAATCTTGCAATTTGAACGCTATACTCGATTCCTAAGCTATTCTTGTAATCCCCCCAGCTAGAATTATACGGCGACCTGAACACGAGAAAGAAGGCGAAAAGTATGCTAGTACTTTACTCCAAAGGTTCATTTTAATACAGAAAATATAGAGTTTTTATAATATTCTAAATATTCTTGGGTTGCTCGAAGATTCTGGAATGCTATTAAACATAGTAGCAGTATAGTAATCAGCTAATTAGAACCTCTACATGTGACGTTTCACTTCCTTGGTGTTTCTGGTTAAAACTTCAAGTGAACGTTGATAGGATAAAATGCTTTTTTATTGTTTTCCTGATCCTTTCATGTCTTTTGAGAGAAATTTTCTTGATCACCACAACAGACACCTATGATCGAATACCAGTAACCTCCGAATATTCTCTACTCCTACCGGTCATGTTTCACAGCCATAAAGTAGGACGGAACGAGCTGCTGCTACGCCGAAAATGACGGAAGTTGGTAAAAGCTAGTCGAGCCCTATTTATCCGTGCTGTGATTTCGTCACACACCAGACCATAAGGTCTGATGAGACTTCCAAGATAAGTGAAGCGGTCGACACGCTCAACCAGCAGAAATCACTGCTGTTTCCACAGCTTTTCGGATGTCATTTCACGATGTCTTGGGGTGGCAATCACTGAAATAGCAACCTAACTGGTTTTCTAGTTGTTCCTAAAATATATACTCTGCTTGGCTATCATTCAGTAGGAACCTAAGAGGTCTCCTTAGAATGTCATTCATAAGTCCAGTAAGACGCAGACGAATACGCGATCGCACTAGAGCTTGGTCTCAATCTATGTATGAGCTTCAGAATGAGCGACAGTCCTCTATCGAACCCATTCATCGGCGACTGATAGCGATGTGATCTATTCGGGTCCAATGTTGGGACGAATTTGGAGGTTTCCATGTCAAAAGATGTTGTTCCTTATGTATAAATTTAGTATTTGCAAGAAACAGTCACTTTTCTGAGCATGAAGATTCAACGACTAGTGTCCCTATCCTTCTGAGTCCTTACCGTATCGTTTAGTCGCACATCGCACAAACAACTGGCTACTGGCATCCAGTCTAACAGAGCTAGTTCTTCCCAAGGATATAATACTATACATACACAAACATAGATCTTTGATTCTACTATGAATCACTATCCATGTTTGTTTAATCATGTATTTAAATCATTAAAATTCCGCCTTAAAATCATTCAAACACTTTTAATTCATGTTCAATATTGAAATCAATATAGAATATCTATGATCAAAAATATTTTAAAAAAAAAAAAGAGTTGTGCCTGTCATGGTTAAAAAAACCAACAAAAAAAAAAAAAACAAATAAAATTTTTTTAATTTCGCAATCGATCGATTAATCACTATGTAAAATGTAAAATAATTTACCCAATAGCCGGTGTACATATTCCACCAAATATTGTAAATGGTTTAAATCTTAATTTAAATTTATGATTTTTCATGAAATCAATATCTTCATTATTATTATTATCATTATTATTATTATCACCATGGCAATTAATGATTGTTGTTCTATGATTTTTAAATTGATAATTATTAAATTGTATTCGTGTATCAATTACACGTCCACGAATAACAAATAATTTTTGTATACCAGTTTTAGTGATGATTGTCTAAATGAGAAAAAAAAAATAGTTTTCTGTTTTTTGGTTTTGTTTTAAAGAACACATAAACATTTTATTAAAATTATAAAAAAATTTTTTATAAAGATGACGACAACAACAACAACAACGACAGCAACAATAACGACGGCAACAACGACGACGGTGACAACAACAGGAAAGATATTTGAAAGAGAGAGAGAGACAGACAGACAGACAGAAAACGATATCTTTTTAAAACAATAAATGGCAACAATTTAAAGCAAAATATCAATGTGATATTTAATAAATTTTAAATTTAAATGAGTGGTTTATTGATTTCTATGATGAAATTTAAAAAAAAGTAATTCATGAGTTTAATTAAGTAATCTATCGAATCTTGTGAGATGGGATTATGGATGTCAACTTTTGAGGAGTCCTACAGTAGGACGAAACGGCGATTCAGTGCTTCCAAATTTTTCGTGATGTTCTAGATTCAATTGACTCATGATTTTAACTATTAAAATTATTATAATATTTATATAAACCCATTCTCATATTAATCAACATATGCTTAGTAGTGACTGGCTTCAAGAGGTATTTCATGGAGTTCTTGTGAAAAGCAATGACTACTGGAGTTCAACCGGGTCTGTTGTGAGATAATAACTTACTAAAAACATTGGTGGATGTGTTGCTCAATTTAGTGGATTGGTTGAAGTTATATATTAACATCGGTGGATACCGGCCGGCTCAGTGGTCTAGAGGTTAAGCACTCGAGCGTGAGACTAATCGGTCCTGGTTTCGAATTTCGCGAGTTGGGATCGTGAGTCTCAACTGTTGAGGAGTTCCACAATAGGACGAGTTGGTCATCTAGTGATTTCAAGTTTTCCATGATGATCTAGCTTCAATTGACTTATGATCTCAATTATTGAAATCAATATATCAGCTGTTTTTTGTTTTGTTTTTAAAGTCAATATTAGTAAATGATAATGATAGATCTCTTAAAGAGAATAATGAATAGTGGTAATTGTTAGGATCTATTTATGGACTAATATTGTACATATTGTTTTTTATTATATCATTGTTATGTAACTAAGCTATCTGTATATTCATGTTCCTCGTATTATAAGCTTCCATTCGACCTATAGACTATTATTATACAATTTACCACTCTTGAGTTATGCCCAAGTCTATCGATTACCATCTCCCACATTCACAGCCACATTTGGCTAAATCATGTACAAATATTGTTTCCTATTTTATGGTGCGATGTAGTATGTTTAGCTGGTGTATATAAACCCCGTATGTTTGAAATAAATGATTTATACTGCAGAGGCTTGCATTGGTGTTCTGGACTCTAACAAGTAGGGCTAAGCAGGACGAAAGATCGATAAAGACTCTATACTGATTGTACGCGTCATTGCTCCAGTAGATAATTCACTATCCTCTAATTGGTGGTATCATTACGTTATATATTAATAGAGATACAAGACTCACAAGTTATAACAGAAAATATGTTTAAATATATTATGTAATGACAACACATTATTGATTTAGAAACAGTATTCATCGAGATGTAACTGTATATTTAATTGATTCAATAGATTGTCGTCTGTTAACTTGACTAACAGGAGGAATTGAAATAGCATTTCTTGTGATTATTCACCGTAATTGCTTACAGTTGAACCTGGATAACATGATGACCTATTCAGGGTATATTGGTTGGAATTTCCATTTGTTAAGGTTTGAAACGAATTTATTATTTTAGTAGCACACTATTACTGTTTGCTATTGATTGCTTTCATTATCAAATCATAGTACATTTTGTGTGCTTTTTTTCCAAGCTTTCTTTACTCACTCTAATCTCAACACTCCCTTAACAAGTAAAGTACCTTCAAGCTAGACATGAACTACTACATATTAGATGGATCTACCATAGACTGAACTTAACAGGTACTACCATATCAAATAGTTTGATAGGAAAACGGTAAAGTTAAATAAAGTAAAATTAAAGTCCGAGGTATAATTCACAATGCCAGCTGTACTGCGGTGTGATGGAATTAAAGTGTTAGCTTCAGATAGGCAACATAGATAGCAACTGTGGTACATTATCACAGAGAAAGGAGGGGGGGGCTAGAATCTGCTTACTCTTAAACTATCTCACCTCACCTTACATCGTGGATTTTCGGCCATTTGTAATGTGGCCTTATAAGTTCAGATATAACCCATGATAAGTATTTATGGAAAGGCCGTGTGTAACCTCCTTCATAATAAATATACGTAAACTACCTGATTCAAGTTAAAAGTATTGACAATTTAATACTGACTTAGTAATTCAGAAGTATAGTTACTCATGTTGTTTTCGTTCGGCATAGTGTATGTAGGGACTAAAAGTTTAAATATAAAGTTTCAATAGATATTCAATAGTTTAAGCGCGGTTGTTCTATTCGACAATATTTAAAATAATAAATTTACCGTTTGAATACCTGACAGTCACTTCTAAACATTTCCTAGTTTAACAGAAGGTTACTACATTTTAACCTTAAACGGAAGACAAAATATGGGAAATATGAAAATAAACTTTAGTTTCAAGATTAGTTTAGGTATAGGGAATACAAATATTTTCAGGTTTATTAATAACCTTGGTATCATCATAGCGTCTGGAAACATGTCAAAATTGGTGACAACTTTGGTAGTTATCGAATCATAATATGACATATAAACATTCATTTTGTAGATATGTTTCAAGTGTTTCTGTTTAACAACCAACAGACCAGATATTTGAGCGTATTATCAACTCCTAATCTATGTAAGGGCTAAAGCTTTCTTGTTGTTAGTGTTAGAGACTGCGAATGGTCAGTCTCTGTTCATATATGAACATCCCACAATGAGCTCTTTGATCTTTCTATTTAGTCACAAGTTCGGATAGCGTTTAGTAGTAGAATACTGAGTACGAATTTTGTTCTATTTAGAACCCATCAGCTCGACGTACATGCTTATCAAATAAAATCTATTCCCAGTTTAGGGGTTGTGAAGATTGTTAAATTTTTGATTGAGATCATGAACCGATTCATATCAGACCACCATTGCGCACTGCTGAGGAGTTCCACAATAGGACGAAAAGTCCATCCAGTGCTTCCAGGTTTTTAATTGTGGTCTAACATCAATCGGTTCATGATCTCAATCAAAAATCTATTCCGTTTGTTCAAGCTAGTAGCTATTAGAATCACTTAAATCAATAGTTAAAGAATTGTTGTTTAAGGTGAAAAGTATTTCATTCAAGACTCAATGTAAACACCAACATTGAGATTCACAGACATATGATTTTTACACTACAAGTAAGATTAAAAGAATACCTTAGTTTTAACGCCAACTACTATTTAAATTTATTAGTTAAAGTTATACATTAACACTGTTGGATGCCGGAGAAGATTTGTAGCTAAAGTGGATGATTTTGATGGAGTTTTATTCTCTAAGCTGGATGAACTGGAAAGCTCCATGATCAAACTATCCAGCTTAGAGAACAAAACTTCATCGAAAACTGTTGGATACCCCCCAGCTCAGTGGTTTATAGGTTAAGTGTACATACGCAAGTCTGATATGTCTTAGGTTCGAATCTCACAAGGCGTGATCGTCGATACGCACTACTGAAAAGTTCCATATTAGGACGAAACAGCTATCCAGTGCTTTCAGGATTTCCATGGTGGTCTAGATTCAATTGACTCATGAATTCGACTGTTAAATTATTTTTAAAAAAACCATTGTTCTTATAAAGACTAATTATAAACTGTGTTAATGAAATGATTTGCTTACACAACTTACTTTAGCTACTTTACCATATTTTGAAATATCTTGAACGGTATTATCTTGATTAAGTAAAAATGTTAATTCCAACTTCCTAAATGGAAAAAAAAGAAAAAAAAAAGAGATAAAAACATCCGTAGAGAATGAAAAGAAGAAAACCCTGATTAACTAAGTCCAAAAAAGCTTATACGTAAAGATTTTAACGACCAACGTATTTTACATTTTTTTAGTGATTTCTATATGTATAGAAGGTTTTATTGAAGGTGCAGATCTTCAAAGCATGAACAACATATTTATAACTGAAGAACATCTGAGAACTTAAAACAACTATCTGTCAAACAACACCAAAGACAGAATTCGCAATACAAATGTCAAGACATCTCTAGTGTATGAAGTGAAAACTTGGAGAACTACAAAAACCAACATTCGGAAGATACAAGTGTTTATTAACAGTTGTCTACACAAATAAATTCGGATCCGTTGGCCAGGCACTATCAGCAACAACCGACTGTGAGAAAGATCATACTTGATCCCAGCAGAGGAACAAATCAGGAAGAAGTGCTAGAAGGAAATCATCCAACTGTGTTAAAACGCAAGCCCTCACATGGAATCCTGAAGGCCAAAGGAAAAGTGGAAGACCAAAGAACACATTACGTTGAGAAATAGAGGCAGACATTCGAAGAATGAACAACAATTAGGTAGAACTAGAAAGTAAGGCCCAGGATAGAGTGGGTTTGAGAATACTGGTCGGCGGCCTATGCTCAATTTGGGGTAAAAGGCTTAAGTAAATAAGTTACTATAAATAAAGTTAACTCGAAAGTTCATAGATTTTGATTTTATATGCATTTTACATAGAAAGAAGCAAAAATATAAAACATTATAAGCAAAGATGGATAGTGGCTAGCAGTGGAATCCAGGACGCGCGTTTCGTCCTATTTGGGACTCGTCAGCTGGATGTACCTGCATCTCAGAGTTGATGTTCACTCTGGGACTCGAACCCAGTACCGTCCGCTTCAAACGCCATCGCGTTATCTACTTAGCTACTGAGTCCTGATAGCCACTTGCTTGTGCAATGGGTGAAGTTTAAGGAGCATATGCCATTAAGAGACTGATCAATTTCAGTCCTAAACATCATTGGAAAGGTTCAAGTAAAAACTATACCAAGTGAATTAAAAATATAAAACGTTTAATAATTTTCTTTGTCACTCCATAGTGATGAAAAGAAATTTCTCTCTGTAATTTAAAACATTTTGATAACTAAACAGTAGTATTTTACAGCTTTTCATTTGACTGTGTATAAGATGGATGTCACTAATCTTTTTTTAAATTTTCTCTAAAAAACCTCAACGTCACTTCTTTTTTATTCTGATTGGCTCACTGAAAACAATGATGAACGGTGTCTCAATATCGTGGATTGGTTGATGTTAGACATTAACACCATTGGATGCCGGCTGGTTCAGTGTTTTAGAGCTTAAGCGTTCGCGCGCGAGACCGATAGGTCCTGGTTTCAGATCCTATGAGGCAGGATCGTCGATGAACACTATTGAGGAGTCCCATAGTAGGACGAAACGGTTGTCCAGCGCTTCCAAGTTTTCAATGGTGGTTTAGTTTCAAGTGACTCATGAACTCAGCTAATAAATTACTAATAATATCCACAACAACCCCCCTTCTGATAACATGATCTATTGATTACGTAATGATGAGTTTAACTTATATATAGTTTGTTTAAAATTTAATTATATAATCAGTGTTTAATCAATGTGGATAGAACACACATTGAGGAAAGCACCGAACTGCATCACAAGACAAGCCCTCACATGGAATCCTCAAGGTTGAAGGGGGTGAAGAGGAAGACCAAAGAACATATTACACCGGGAAATGGAGATAGACATGAGAAGAATGAACAAGAATTGGATGGAATCAGAAAAGAAGGCCCAGGACAGAGTGGTCGACAGCCTATGCTCCATTGGGAGTAACAGGCTTAAGTAAGTAAGTAAGTAAGTTTAATCAATCTATTAGAAACAAGTAGGTAGGCTCAAACCTATAATTCCCATAACTTTATACTCGTTAACAATTTAGATCTGAAATTTTACCGGAACTGATCTTTCATGTAAAATTTTAAATCAGAGTTACACAGTGCAATCTGGTTAATGTTGTTATAATTAAGTTATTCAGTTTATTACTATTCTTTTTAAAACAAAAAAGTAATCATTATTCTTTAGAATTCAAAACCACTTGAAACTAATCTCTTACACCTTCATTCTTATATTATATCGATCAGTTTAATCAATATTCAATATGTGTCAAAGTTTGATATTGATAATGTTACTAACATTATGGTGAACAGTAACACGTTTTAGGGTCATTTATACGCTTGACCTTGAATAATTAACAGTTTTAATTAGTTAATATAGGTTTTTTTTTTTAATCAATGGTAACCATTTTTTACATTCTTATCTCTTAATTAATGTGATAATAATAATGTTTATAATGTTTGTGAATTAAGTCTATATCGACGCAATACACACAGTATGTATATATGCTAATAAGAAACTGATCAATTGTAGTTCTTAATATCAATGAGAATATTCAAGTAAAACAATAACAAGTGAAATTAGACTTTATCCTATTGCATAAGTAAGTGACTATCAGAACTCAGTCCTTACGCCTGTTACTTCTCAGGAAAGAGCATAGGTCACCTACCAATATTCTCTATGCAACACTATCCTGGGCAATGTTTTCCAGCTCTTTTCACTAGTTATTCATTCTTTTCATATCTGATTCTATTTCCCGATGTAACTCTGAGATTCAGGTACATCCGACTGACGAGAACTAAATAGGACGAAACGTGCGTTGTGGATTCCACTACTAGCCAATAGCCATCTTAGCTTATCAAGCTTACAACTTAATAGTAATATCGAGGCAATACACACAGTATGTACATATGCCAATAAGACACTGATCAACTGCAGTCCTTAAAATCAATGGGAAGATTCAAGCAAACAATCCCAAGTGAATTTTTCGATAATTATATTTATATTCAAAGAGACAAATGAATTGTAGAAATTTCACTACATTTCAAGAAAAACTTTGGTGGAGTTACGTTTTCTAAGCTGAATGGTTTAACTATGTTATCAACAATTCAAAGCTCATGACATCTATATCATTTAGAAAGGCAGTAACAGTTTTACAATTGAACTATTCAGATTAGAGTACATAACATCAGTAAAATCATCTTCTTGAAGTATACATAATTTCGACCATGTTGAATATCTCCCTTTCTCCTTCTTCTGATGGTCGACTGGATTATGAAGACTTCAACATCTGAGGAAAAACACGGCATACAATGGACAGCTCAGAATCAATTAGACGATTTGGACTTCGCAGATAAATTAACCCACCTATCGCATACACGCGAACAAATGCAGATAAAGGCAGTCAACATAGCAGCATTCTCTGCATCAGTAAGCCTCAACATACACAAAGGGAAAACCAAGGTCCTCAAATTTAACACGGAGAACAGCAATCCAATCACTCTTGTTGGCGAAACTCTGGAAGATGTAGAATCCTTCACATACCTGGGAAGCATTATCATCGATGAACAAGGAGGTTCAGATGCAGACGTAAAAGCGAGGATTGGCAAAGTAAGTGCCGCATTCCTTCAATTAAAAAACATACGGAACTCAAAACAACTTTCAACCAATATCAAAGTCACAATCTTCAATATGAACGTCAATACAGTCAGTTCTACTGTACGGAGCTGAAACGTGGAGAACTACAACAACCACCATCAAGAAGGTACAAGTATTTATCAATGGCTGTCTACGCAAGATACTCAACATCCATTCGCCAGATATCATCAGCAACAGTCTTTTGTGGGAGAGAACAAACCAGGTTCCAGCTGAAGAGGAAATTAGGAAAAGACGATGGAAATGGATAGGACATACATTGAGGAAATCATCAAACTGCACCACGAGACAAGCACTAACTTGGAATCCTGAAGGGAAGCGGAAAAGTGGAAGGCCTAGGAATACATTACGTCGGGAAATAGAATCAGATATGAAAAGGATGAATAAGAACTGGAAAGAGCTGGAAATGATTGCCCAGGACAGGGTTGGATGCTGAATGCTGGTGAGTGGCCTATGCTCCTTCACGAGGAGTAACAGGCGTAAGTAAGCAAGTAAGTATCCATTCATTACAACATAGATTGTCGTTTACTGCAAATAAGGATTAATACATAGTAATAATTTTCTAATCAAACCCTCACAATTAACTTCCTATCCGTTTTATATATTCCTAGTTTACACTTACACTTAAACCATACAATCTAGAAATGATATGAAGTAAGGATAAAAGCTTTACTTCAAGGTTTATTTATGTAAATAATCATTCAATCAGAGTTTAACACATAATCTGTTAGTATTCTAGAAATTTTCGCAGGGAATTCTGTTTGAATGATATGGTTACAGCTTTCTTCTGGTTGAAGAATTCCTCTGAAATTCAACACAATATTGAACTACGAATTGATGCACTCTTACTTTCATAGTCAAAGAAACTTCAACAGTTCTCCACATGATGTAAATATCAATATGTTATCATCGATCAACATGTAAGGATTGACAGAACATTTAGTAATAAAGTTAAACGATAGATGTAAACATACTTCTTATTCATGATCAAAATTGACAATATGACCCCAGACTGAAAGCTTCCCCCCTACCTATTTTTTACAGTTTACATTTATAAGTCATATCGTATTAAGAAAATTCAATCAAATTAACAACTATAAACAAACCTTCCATAAAGATCTGACTTATAAGATGGTGGAGAAGATTTGTTGCTCAGCTGAATGATTTTGATAGAGTTTTATTCCCTGACCTGCATGATTTGATCAACATTAAAGTGTAAAGAACAAGCTATGAACCATATATATTTTTTGAGAAATTCAAACACTTCACTTCTACCTGAAGTTTATATTGATGATATCGTTCCACAACTAAACCATTCAGCTCACCGAATAAAACTTTATCAAGATCTGATTAGATCACTATAACTCAACACACACAAAGATAACGATAAAGAAATCAAGATAGAGCGGAAGAGAGAGATCGAGAGAGAGGACAAGATTAATATTAAAATATTATACAATTTTTATCAGAATGGGTTCTGTGTAGATTTTAGAAACTTAACTGGTTGAAATCATGACTCAATTGTAGCTAGACTACCATAGAAAACCTGGTCTGTTGTGAGACATCAGCTCACTGAAGACAATGGTGTACGGTGGCACAATTTCGTGGATTGGTTGAAATTAGACAGGCTCAGTGGTCTAGTTGGTTAAGCGCCTGGCGCGAGACCGCTAGGCCCTGGGTTTGAATCTCGCGTGGAGCGGGATCCTGTGTGCGCACTGTTGAGAAGTCTCATACTAGGGCGAAACGGCCGTCCAGTGCTCCTAGCTTTTCCATGGTGGTCTAGCTTCAATTGACTCATATTACACAATTTGTAATAAACTGAAATGAAACTTAATCTACCATCTATTCCTTCCTCCCTCCTTCCCTCCCTCAATCCACCCACCCCCGCTACAAAAAATATAAAAAATTTTAATTATCTATTTAATCACAATAGAATGATCAATACACATAATCTAGATATTATGGTTAAAATTTTATTGATTATTAGAATATAATTTGGATCAATAAGACCAATACTAATAATAGTAATAATAATAATAATAATAATACTTATTATTATTATTACTATTATTGATTATTATAACAATATCGATAATAAGTATGTGAATCATGTTATATGTAAACAATGTTACAATGATTTACGCTTACTGATTATGTATATATGAATCAAGTCAATTACATTTACCCCATAATTCAATTATGCGCATACAATAAACATTTGAATATATATACAACATTCAATGAGTTAATGATGATATATTATAATATTAAGAAAACAGATATATAATATACCCTTGGTTTCCAGGAGAACAAAACACTATCCAGGCTTAAACTTTAGAATCCAAGCAGTATCACTCAATCCTACTTCATTAGAGAACTATAATCTGAATAGTATAACTCAATCCTGTAGCGCAACCACACAAGTATCAAGCACCCTAGTGAACCATTCGCATATATATATATATATATATATATATATATATATATATATATATATATATATATATATATATTCATAAACACATTCATGTCATATCTATAGTTATTCGAATTAATGATTGCATGAATCAATTATGCACAGCTTGAATAGGCCAAAGTTGAACTATTCCGTTTACATGACAGTCAAACTGATTTATGTTAGCAATCGCGACACACCTTACAATCTCCTAATGGTAATGCTCCTTGAGAATACTGAAAAGTAACCAGCAGTATGAATAAAATCGTTTAACTAAATCGGCAAACTAATTTTGTTCATAAATAGTCAGTCAATAAAACTTGCCAAACTATAAACCCAATATCAATAATAAACCTCCAGTTCTACAATAATAGTAAATATATAGATATATTAAACTATTACTTACCCTTTTGATAATCTTGTATTGATTTGTTTACTTTCTTGTATTTTATTGTTTCCATAATTATTAATTTTATCATTTATTTGAATGATAGAACATTTAGGATAAGTATTTTCATATGAACAATTGCTTATACAATTATTTGTTTGACAATTATGTACAATTGAATTCTTTATAGAACTAGGTAAATCTTCATATCTTCTTAATATTGAATGTATTCGATGTATATCATTAGTATAATTAAATGAAATGGATTGATTTGAATCTATTATAGTATTATTATGATTAGATATTGATGATATACATGAAGATGGTTTTGAATAATGGGATATAGTTGAAGTATTATCATCTTTACTATGATTGATAGATGATATATCATAGTAATTTGTATCATTCTCATGATGATAAATATCTAATAATAATTCTTTAATATCATGAAATGTTTGTCGTTTACCTAAATTATAAGTTGATTTTGAATGAGATGAAGTAATTGAATTGATTGGTGTCTGAAATGAAAATAATTATACATGGTTTAAATGAATAGATAATTTTTCTGATTAGCGTTTATTTTTTTTTTAACGAGTTAGTTTTTTTGAGGAATGGGGTCGCTTATATCATGCCTAACCCTTCTTCTTTATTTGAGCTTGGGACCGACAGTAGCCCGCGGAGAGACTCCAAAAGGAGTCCGAAGTTAGAATTTTCAATACAAATGTTAAGATAGTTCTACTGTGTATTGGGCCGAAACCTGGAAAACTACGAAAGCCGTCATCCAGATGATACAGGTGTATTTAACAGTTGTCTACACAAAATACTTCAGATCCATTGGCCAGACACTATTAGCAACAACCTACTGAGGGACAGAACAAATCAGATCCCAGTGGAAGAAGAAATCAGAAAGAAGCGCTGGGAGTGGATAGCACACAAATTGAGGGAAGCACCCAACTGAGTCACAAAGCAGATCTCGCTTGGAATCCTCAAGGTCAAAGGAAAAGAGGAATAGCAAAGAACACATTACGTCGGGAAACGGAGATAGACATGAGAAAAATGAACAAGAATTGGATGGAACTAGAAAAGAAGGCCGAGGACAGAGTGTGTTGGAGAATGCTGATCGGCGGCCTATGGTCCATTGGGAGTAACAGGCGTAAGTAAGTAATTAAGTAAATCAATAGATCATATTTTAGTCATATGTTACCAGTTTAAGTGATTGGTTGAAGTACTATGTAAATAAAAAATAGACAAAGATATGTTTCTTGATGATTATTGAATAGTGCTTTTACTGTAAGTGAATTAAATCCCCTAATATACAACATCAAGCCATTAGACCATGCAGTTAGCATACATAGCTCATTGTAGAGAACCTCGCAACATGGTCGATAGCATTCGATGTGCACTAATAATAAGGACTAGACACGCATGACATTGGTCACCACCCAGTAATCAATCAATTGTGATTACATCTCAGTCCTACAGAAGGTCATTTGCTGCCCGGATAGCTCAGTGGTAAAGTCTCTGACTGTGGAGCTGGGTGACACGGGATCGAATCTGTCAGGGAGTACCACTTCCCTCAAGATTACAGGTACACCTTACTGACGAATGCTAAGTAGCACGACATCCGGGACCAGGGATTTCCTGTTGACTACCTCTAAATACCATCTAACAGTATGATATTCTCCAACATGTTTAGTTTATTATGTCGAAATAACGGCTTATCTTATTATATTTATCCCTGGACTATTGAATTTTATTATTTCCGCCTGGAGTCCATTTCGGGGGGCTACTGCGGATCCCAAGCCCGAGTAAAGGAGGAGGGTTGGGCACGGGTTTAGCGACCCCATCCTGTAGAAAACTAGCTCGCTAAAAAAACGCTAACCAGAAAAAATTATTCAAACCATTTAAACTCTGCCCTGGCAGTCAGGAGGTCTTCGTTTAGAAGAGTTATGACGAATCATGATGAAAGCTGAGTTCCTTCGGAAGTCAAGAGGCCGATGCCCCTTCTGACAACCAGAGCAACCATTTATTTAGGTACATGGATTGCTCGTATAATGTGGGACACTGGGAGAGTTTTCCAAATTGCTGCAGAAATGAGGAGATACAAGCTAGAGGTGCTTAGGATCAGTGAAACACATTGGACGCAAGTTGGACAACAACGACTAGCTTCAGGGGAGCTGCTGTTATACTCCGGACATGAACAACAAAATGCTTCACATACACAAGGAGTTGCATTAATGCTGTCCAAACAAGCACAAAATGCACTTATAGGATCGGAATCTCATGGACCAAGGATCATCAAAGCCTCCTTCAAAACAAAGAAAACGGGGATTACAATGAACGTCATCCAATGCTACGCGCCTACCAATGACTACAATGAAGACGCTAAAGATCAATTCTACGATAGGCTGCAGTCAATCGTCGAGAAGTGCCCAACAAAAGACCTGACTATTCTGATGGGAGACCTAAATGCCAAGGTTGGAATTGACAACACGGGATATGAAGAGATCATGGGACGACACGGACTGGGAGAAAGGAACGAAAATGGTGAGAGATTTGCAAATCTATGTGCCTTCAATAAACTGGTCATAGGCGGGACTATATTCCCACATAAACGCATACACAAAACCACATGGACTTCACCGGATCACACCACACAGAACCAAATCGACCATATCTGCTTCAACAAAAAGTTCAGGAGGACGATGGAGGACGTGAGATCAAAGAGAGGAGCTGATATAGCATCAGATCATCACTTGCTGGACGTCAAGATGAAATTGAAACTCAAGAGGCACTGGACAACGGGGAGGACAATATCACAAAAATTTAATACGGCTCTTCTTCGAGATAATGACAAACTCAATAAATTCAAGATAACCCTCAGCAATAAGTTCCAGGCCTTTCATGATCTACTCAATGGAGAAGAAACTACTATGGAGAGCAACTGGAAAGAGATAAAAGAGGCAATCGCCTCAACATGTCATGATGTTCTGGGCCAAAAGAAGCACCATCACAAGGATTAGATCACGGTCGATACACTAGATAAGATTCAAGAAAGGAGGAACAAGAAGGCAGCAATCAATACCAGTCGAACAACAGCAGAAAAAGTCAAGGCACAAGCTGAATACACACAAGTAAACAAGCAAGTGAAGAGGGTCATCAGAACTGACAAACGTAATTATGTGGAAGATTTAGCAATGACGGCGGAAAAGGCTGCCAGGCAAGAAAACATGAGACAACTGTATGACACAACAAAGAAACTCTCTGGAAATCACCGTAAACCAGAACGAGAAGTGAAAAGCAAGGAAGGCAAGATAATCACCAACATTGAAGAACAACGAAACAGGTGGGTAGAACACTTCAAAGAACTCTTGAATCTACCAGCTCCACTGAACCCATCCAACATCGAAGCAGCACTCACGGATCTCCCAATCGATGTTGGCCCACCAACATTTGAAGAAATCAGCATGGCTATCAGACAAATCAAGATTGGCAAAGCAGCAGGACTAGACAGCATTCCAGCAGAGGCACTGAAAGCAGACGTAGGATACTCCAAACTCTCTTCAGAAAGATTTGAGATGAGGAACAGGTACCAAAAGACTGGAAAGAAGGACTTCTAGTCAAAATACCAAAGAAAGGCGATCTCAGCAACTGTGACAACTACAGGGGAACCACTCATCTCTCAATACCAGGAAAAGTCTTCAACTGGGTATTGTTAAACAGGATAAAGGACTCCGTAGACGCACAACTTCGCGACCAACAGGCAGGATTCCGTAAGGATTGATTGTGCACAGACCGAATCGCAACTCTACGGATCATTGTGGAACAATCAATTGAATGGAATTCATCACTCTTCATCAACTTCATTGACCATGAAAAAGCATTTGATAACGTGGACAGAACAACCCTATGGAAGCTTCTTCGACACTACGGCGTGCCTCAGAAGATAGTCAATATCATACGAAATTCCTACAATGGATTAAACTGCAAAATCGTTCATGGAGGACAGTTGACAAAGTTGTTCGAAGTAAAGACCGGTGTCAGGCAAGGTTGCTTACTCTCACTCTTTTCTCTTTCTCCTGGTGATCGACTGGATCATGAAGACGTCAACATCTGAAGGGAAGTACGGGATACAGTGGACATCTAGGATGCAATTGGATGATCTAGACTTCGCAGATGATCTGGCTCTTCTATCGCATACGCAACAACAAATGCAGGAGAAGACAACCAGTGTAGCTGCAGCCTCAGCAGCAATAGGTCTCAATATACGCAAAGGGAAAAGCAAGATTCTCCGATACAACACAGCATGCAACAATCCAATCACAATCGACGGAGAAGATTTGGAAGATGTACAAACCTTTACATATTTGGGCAGCATCATCGATGAACACGGTGGATCTGATGCAGATGTGGAGGCACGGATCGTCAAAGCAAGAACAGCATATTTACAACTGAAGAACATCTGGAACTCAAAACAATTGGCAACCAACACCAAAGTCAGAATTTTCAATGCAAATGTGAAGACAGTTCTACTGTATGGGGCGGAAACCTGGAAAACTACGAAAGCCGTCATCCAAAAGATACAGGTGTTTATTAACAGTTGTCTACACAAAATACTTCAGATCCGTTGGCCAGACACTATTAGCAACAACCTACTGTGGGACAGAACAAATCAGATCCCAGTGGAGGAAGAAATCATAAAAATGCTCTGGAAGTGGATAGCACACAAATTGAGGGAAGCACCCAACTGAGTCACAAAGCAGATCTCGCTTGGAATCCTCAAGGTCAAAGGAAAAGAGGAATAGCAAAGAACACATTACGTCGGGAAACGGAGATAGACATGAGAAAAATGAACAAGAATTGGATGGAACTAGAAAAGAAGGCCGAGGACAGAGTGTGTTGGAGAATGCTGATCGGCGGCCTATGGTCCATTGGGAGTAACAGGCGTAAGTAAGTAAGTAAGTAAATATTGAATTCTATTAGATAAGTTTTTTATAACTATCATTCGTATGCTAACAAACTACAAAAAAACATTTTAACTCACATAGCCTAATGAAGGCAATCTGTCGGTCTAATTAACAAGCATTACATAACTCATACAATACAATAACTTGATATAAGATGGTGGTTGAATGTAGTCAACAGGAAATCCTGGACCCAGGTTTCGTGCTACTTGGCATTCGTCACCAAAGTGTACCTGTACCTATTAAACTGTTTGTTTGTTTTTTCATCTAAAATGTTTAGGTCTATTCATACAAAGGAGTTGAAGATAAGTTTTCTTGAACGAGTACATTTTCTTGGTTAATGATAATTTATCATATGACCTGTCCTCATTTGTACTATCTTCTGAAATAAGGGATTCAAGAGGACACTTCAACAAACTTTATAAGTTTACAACCAACCACCTGTTTATCGACTACTTATTTTCTTATCGAATCAGCAACTAGTGGAACTCTTTATATATAGTTTAGTCTCCATCTATCAATACAAAAAAAAAAAAAAAAAACAGCGTTGGATCAACTGAAAGACCATCATATCCAGGAATACCACAGATTATCCAGTTTCTTATTCTTCTATAACTAAAACTGAAATTAACATTATTGATCGAATGTTTCCAATCAAAATCATGCTTTGATTGAATTCTGTTCACAATAAATTAGTTGAAAGATGCAAGTACTCAATAGTATAAAAAGAAAATATTCTAATATAAATTACAACTAACTAATTACAGTAATTTAATATTTGAATATATGAGACAATTAAAGCTAGATCAACCAAGTAGCACTAGATGGCCGTTTCGTCTTACTGTAGGACTGCTAATCAGTGGGAACCTACGATCCCGCCTAGCGACATCCGGTCTCGAGCGTGAACGCTTGACCTCTAGACAACTGAGCCGGTATCCAACGGTGTTAATTTCTAACTTCAACCAATCCACGAAATCGCGCCACCGTCACCATTGTCTTCAGTGAGCTGATATCTCATAACAGACCTGGTTGAACTCTACCGGTCACTGCTTCTCACTAGAACTCCAGGAGTATCTCTTGAAGTCAGTCATAAAGGGCTTTGTGAAGATTTTAGTAATTTTAATTGTTAAAATCATGGGTCTATTGAAGTTAGACTATCATGGAAAACCTGGAAACACTGAACGGCATTTTCATCCTAGTATGGGACTCCTCAGCAGTACGCATCCACGATCCCGCCTCTCGCTAGTCAATATCTTAATCAAACTTAATCAACTTACTTGTAATTCAGATGAACAATAATGATTATCAGTACCAATTTTTTTCATTATTGACATTGTTACATCATTAATATTTGTATTTATTGTTGAATTTATACAATTAACTCCAAGTAAATGTTGATTGTGTTGATAATTAGATAAATGAGAATTGAAATAATGACTATCACTATATTGTTCTTGTTGTTCTTGTTGTTGTTGTTGGTGGTGGTGGTGGTGGTGATTTACAGTATGATTTGATTGGTATTGTTGTTGGTGTTGTTGGTGTTGCTGCCGAGATTGTCTACTTATCTCTTGACATTGTTCTCCCCCTTCTAACAAATTATTATTATTATTATTATTATTATTATGATTATTACGTAATTCAGTTGGTGATAAATCATAATCTAAAAAGTTAGAAATGCATGGTGTTTGTAATTCAAATTCTGTTTGTAAATGATTTTGTGCCATAAATGAATTAGTTTTATTCATATCTATTATAAATTTGTGCGTATCAATTAATAAATATAGATGGTTAAGTAAAATAAACAAGAAATGAATAGTTACTCTTTTTGTTTTCCCGCCCCCACCCGGTAAATGCAAATGTATATTTGTATGTTGTTATGTGTCTTCTATATAAATAGAATCTGTTTCAAGGTAGTAGTAGTAGTAATAATAATAATAATAGTGATGATGATGATGATGATAATAATAATATTCTAATAGAAAGACACAGAGAAAATGCAGTTGGCTTTTATACATAAAACTTAATTGGATCACAATTGGTAATTACTTCTTGAACTAAAAAGATACATCTAAAGTATAAATAAAAAGAAAGAAAAAAAAAGAAAGTAAATAGGTAAGTGATAAAATTACTTTCTTTTAGATATGTGATTACTCTACTTACTTACTTACTTACTTACGCCTATTAATCTAAGTGGAGTATAAGCTGCCGACTAGCATTCTCCAAACCATTCTGTCTTCGGCCTTACTTTCTAGTTCTATCCAATCGTCATTCATTCTTCTTATGTTTGTCTCCATTTCTTGTAGTAATGTGTTCTTTGGTCTTCCTCTTCATCCCATTCAACCTTGAGGATTCCATGTGAGGGCTTGTCTTGTGACGCAGTTCGGTGCTTTTCTTCAATATGTGTCCTATTCACTTCCAGTACTTCTTCTTAATTTCTTCCTCTACTGGAATCTGATTTGTTCTTTCCCACAGTAGGTTGTTGGTAATTATTTCTGGCCAACAGATCCGAAGTATTTTGCATAGACGACTAACTCGCTAAACAACATAGATGTGATTGCTAATCTTTACTAAACAGTACTGAATAGATAATTGTTTTAGTATGGTTTATTACTATTCAGCGATATCCACACCATGATTTGACGCGGAATTGAACAATGATGTGTATATTCAAACAGTCAGTTTACTGATGTAGATAAAAAATATTTACAATTGATTGATCACTGGGTAATGATCAATGTCATATATGTCAGATGCTTCTTAGTGTAGATCGAATGCTATCGACCAAGTTGTAATGTGGCCACTAGTCTAGGTGGCTCGACATTGCATGTACTATGTTAAGATAAGATGGGTGGTTGGAAGTAATCAACAGGGTTTACTGTTGACTAACTCCAACCACCCATCTTATAATATATATATATATATATATATATATATATATATATATATATATATATATATATATATATATATATATATATATATATATATATATATATATATATATATATATATACATTTATTAACGAGTTTAAACTTCCTAATTTTCAACATTCTGATGTATGTGAACTAATTTAAACGGAATAAGAGACAATGATATTACAAATCTAAGGATAAAAGTAACCATTTCATCATTGATTTTTGTTATTACATTATGAAATAATAAATAAAATGACATAATTGAATAAAACAGACAAGTAGAAGTTGATAGGGTGTTGATAAAAATGGTAGCCTGTTTAGTCATCAAAGTGGTCGCCACTTCCTAGTCCTCCATATTGTTGAAGGGTACTTTGACAAGTATTCGAACAGAAAACTGGATAAGGAGTAATTGTGATGACTTGGAAACGTGACCACAGTACTCAAGGGATAATTACTAGGATGGAATGTCCATCTAGTGCTTCTAAGTTTTCAATGGTGATCTAACGTTGATTGATTTATGATCACAATGAAACTCAACAGTTACCAAAACTCTGTATTGAAAATTTACTTCAGTCAGACAGTCATATACATTGTTTTAATTTGATATACCTTGTAAACATAGTGATATGAAACTATCATGATTAATTGTAGAGTAATAGAATTAGTAACTATGTTAATGATAGTAGAAAACATTAGATGGAAACTATATGATTTCAGAAAGAATAATGGATTCACACAATAAAATGTTTTAGATCATTTTAAAACTGGAAATCTAAGAGAAGTGTATACATCTACTACATTGTAATCAATTCTGAATCATGTCACTTTACACCTTCCTTACTCTACAAATAATTCAAGTTAGTTTAGTTCAATTAGGCATTCAGAATATGAGATGAGTTTTTTTTAAGTAGTTCAAAAATCAAGGTCAACTGTCATTACTAAAAACATACGATTGATTTATTTCTTTAAAAAGACTCTGTAGTGTCAGTTACTACGTCAAGCCCATATACTTTACTCTAGCTTCTGGACAGGTCAATTTATCCGTTCTTCTTGAATCAAGTTTTGAATTTGTTAATTATTCTCTCGCAGGGAGGGCGGGATCGTGGATGCGCACTGCTGAGGAGTCCTTTACTAGGAAGAAACAGTTAGTGGACACGAAGGGTCCACGTAAGGGAGTCAGAAAACCCTGATTCCAAACCAATGGTACACATTGGCTCCAGGATCCTAAGGAAACCAATAGCGTATGAACTTATTGTTGGTCACGGGCTATCATGGGATTGTATCTCCTTACGTTTCTCTATTCACTACCTTATGGATTCGACGTTTTGGTTGAAGGCACCGGATGTGGTCTCCTAAGAAAACCACCTGTTTCAGTTTGGGTACCTGGGCAGTATCCAAGCCCTCATTTGTGTGGCGCTTATCTATTTGGTGCCTTCTTGTACCAGTGCTTATGTGACTAAATAAATAAGTAATTAGGTTACACATTTATATGTTAGATATAATAATATTATAAGTGAATACAAGATAACTTATAATCACATAACCTAGTTAGTAAATATATAAGAAACGTTATAAATATATGATTTCAGTGTTGTTTGTAACATATTTTGAGCCAACTCGATGTTTATTGATTAATTCAGTTGCTAGTATGGTATAGATTGTATCGGAACCATTCAATAACTATTATCTCTAAATGAATTTCTAAGAATTAACGATCATGGGTATAGAACGAAGAATATAAAAGCATCACTAGGTATCTTCTCTTGAATGCCTGATCAACTCTCGTCTTACTTACTTACTTACGCCTGTTACTCCTCGTGAAGGAGCATAGGCCGCTCACCAGCATTCACCATCTAACCCAGCCCTGGACAATCCTTTCCAGCTCTTTCCAGTTCTTATTCATCCTTTTCATATCTGATTCTATTTCCCGACGTAATGTATTCCTAGGCCTTCCACTTTACCGCTTCCCTTCAGGATTCCAAGTTAGTGCTTGTCTCGTGGTGCAGTTTGATGATTTCCTCAATGTATGTCCTATCCATTTCCATCGTCTTTTCCTAATTTCCTCTTCAGCTGGAATCTGGTTTGTTCTCTCCCACAAAAGACTGTTGCTGATGATATCTGGCCAATGGATGTTGAGTATCATGCGTAGACAGCCATTGATAAATACTTGTACCTTCTTGATGATGGTTGTTGTAGTTCTCCACGTTTCAGCTCCGTACAGTAGAACTGACTGTATTGACGTTCATATTGAAGATTATGACTTTGATATTTGTTGAAAGTTTGTCACGTAGTCATTATCAACTTATCAAATTATTTTATAAGACTAGTGGTACAAATCAGAAGTCAATGTAAAGTAGATGAATTGGCTATTTATCAGATCAAACCTAATATACAGGTTCGAAACTCGCATGTTTACATTGTGATTTTACTTAGATTTTCAGAATGAACAATGCTGATAATAAATCTCTTATAATTTCAAAAGTTACCACCTCCTTTTTCACCTTTCCTTGATATTTTTTTAAGTAGACAATTATCTTTTACCTATAGACTATTGGTCAATAGCATTCGATTTGTACGAAGAAGGATCTGATACACATGACATTGACAATCAATTTTGAATACATCTCAGTCCTACAGGAGGTCTTTCGTGGTCCAGATAGCCCAGTGGGGACATCTTTGACTGTAAATTTGGGTGACATGAGATCGAATCCGTTTGGGAGCATCATTTCACTCAAGATTAAAGGTATACCTTATTGACGAGTGCCAAATAGCACGAAATCCGCGTCCAGAGTTTACTATTGACTACGTCCTACCATCATATTATCTCAATATAGTGCATGCAATATCGAGTCACTTAGACTAGTGACCACATTGCAACTTGGTCGATAGCATTTGATCTACACTAAGAAGCATCTAACACATATGACATTGACCACCACCCACTAATCAATTAATTATAACTATTTTCACTCTAGAGTTTTACATTACTCTCTAGTATATTACGTAATATTCTTATTTTCTTGATTGAAAACATTTATGATAACTCTTTACATTACTTAATATCTATCTAGAATTATGCATACTAATCAATTATAAGGACTTCTATCTAGAAATATAATATCTGTTGTGTCTTTATGGTCCGCAAGTTATTACATAATTTATTCGATAATCAAATACGACTTATTCGCTCTTGTACTATACTAAACCAATGACGTTCGTCCGGTCTGATCAACCTCGTGTCCTATTCAGCTGTTGCTCGTCTAGCCCGCCCAGTTGAGTTCAGAATGCCAATAACAGTCTCCATTATGTGAATCATTTATTTCAGACATACTGGATTCATATACCAACCAAACAGACCGCATCGCACCATTAAATAGGAAATAACATTCATACACAATAAAGCAAAATTGTGGTTGTGAACGTGGGAGACAGTAATTAATAAACTGAGTCTAACTTAGGAACAGTAAATCCTACAATAATAATCTAGAGGTCAAAATAAAGCTTATAACAAGAGGAATGTAGATATACATAATCTAGTTATTAAATAGTTATACCATAAGAATATATAGATAATATTAGTCCGTTAATAGGTCTCAGAAGATACTCGTACTTTAATCTTCACTAGGATATAACAATATCAGATCATCAATGTTACAAAAATACAATCCCAACATCAAGATACAGAGTCATACATACAAATGTAGATCACACATTCTATGTGTGATAAGTTGTAATCATATTTATAAGTGATCATTATGACGTAACCGTACAGAACCTGTTTTGGAAATCTACCTTTTTATTTCAAAAAAAACTCATTTGATAAGCAAAGATGGATAGTGGCTAGCAGTGGAATCCACGACGCATGTTTCGTTCTCTCTGGGACTCGTCATCTGGATGTACCTGATCAATTGCAGTCTTAAAATTTCAATGCGAAGATACAAACAAAACAATACCAAATGAATTTGAATTCATCCCATTGCACAAGCAAGTGGTTATAAGGACTCAGTAGCTGAGTGGATAACGTGATGGCGTTTGAAGAGAATAGTACTGAGTTCGATTCCCAGAGTGGATATCAACACTGAGATTCAGGTACATCTAACCGACAAGTCCCAAATAGGATGAAACGTGAGTCATGGATTCCACTACTAGACA